TATCAATTGATTCATTCACATCGTTCCATTCCATCGGGAGATATTGTCGATTGGAGACAATTTTTTATGGTCACTGAAGAATGCAAACCATTCATTTAAATCTCGCAATAATCTGCGAAAAGTCTCATTCGTTAATCTATTATTATTGATTTAATCCCATTATGTGTATGAGATTTGTTGAGATATAATCTCTCACAAATATTGAATATATTTCTCATCAAAATAATTTGAAATTCATTCATTACCTTTGTATCACTGACAAAATATGTAATAAATGTGAATAACATGAATTGCTCGTATGTTTTTTTTTATTAAAGATCTAGTTGTATAGAAATTCAAATAAATGATCCTCTTTCGCTCAAGACTTCATAATTCCTTCTCTCCCTCTCCTCTATGATCAACTAATTTACAAATTCAGACAATAAGAAGTTGTATGAACGAAAATGGGATAATCAAGCGGATGAGTGAATGCAAAGGAAGTTTCATGTTGGATTTAAGATTGGGAACTCATCCCTGTTATCGACTGTTTCCATGGTAATAGATGAATATTTCTTTACCCACAGAGACGGCCTCTCGAATAGTCCATGCGCGCCACCGCTATGAAACTCTAATCGAACAGTTCCCATAAGCCTGAGTAATCTCCCCTATTATCTATGCCTCTACTCAGGTCTATCCTCTTTGCATAGAGCGCTCGTTCCCTGTCGTTCGGCAAGCTACGCGCATACGCACCGTCGAGAGAGTGAGAGAGGTGACCCCCAAAATCTACTCCTCTCTGGCTCGTTTAACGTATACGAGTGTGACATTGCAGTGCCCTTTCCAGTATATAGTATAGCATATATAGACCAAAGTTATCCTGCGAGTATCCGTTTTTCTATGTTTTGTGAAAGCATGTTTGAGATCTGGGAGATTTTTCATCGTGTTGGGTTCATATCAATAATATATGAAATATCAAGCACAGTAAGTATTCTATATTTTAAAATAATAGTACCTCAGTACCCATCAGAAGCAGTATAGAAATCTCAAATAATCTCTCAATGGCGCCCACCACTCTGAGTTCTTTCCATCTTCTATATTATTTTCAACATATCTTCTATGCCCTGATGGTTTATTTAACAACATTTAAAACTAATTCAACAATCAAAGCGACAACTCTGCGATCATGTGTGTCCAGAGTTTGTCCAACATTGTGCACCTAACTTCAACTCTGGGTTTCAGAATCTAACTCTAGGTTTGTGGAAAAATCAGAGTTCAAACTTGAGGCAACTCTGGGTCAAGTCTCTGTGAACCATCAGGGTGCTCAACGATATACCAATTATTTTATAAATGCCATGTAGAGAACATTTTCTCAGGGGCTACTCAAGTATAAACAGGGTCAACTCGTCCACTTTCAATTCTCAACCAAATAATGTGAAATATAAAATGGAAATTTTGTACGTAGGTCCAGATGACGACAACTGCAGTGATGATTCTCTAAGATTGATTGGAAACCTGTTCCTTCCCAGACTGTATAGATGGAGTACTACATTGAACGACCAAGAACGAGAGAGTCAAGTTGTGTTGGGTTTCAAGGTAACAATACACATTTTCATCACAATAGATCTTAAGTAAATATAGAGAATCGCACATGTAAAAATTCCATGGAAGAAGTTAATTCTATAGAAGTTAACGCTATCTCTAAGAACTTCTATAGAATTTCAATTGGAATTCTATACGAATTCTAGTAGAATTCTGTCGAAATTTTATTGTTTTTTTTTGCGCCCATTCTATTGGAGATTATGCAACCTTATCGTATCATTTTTTGATAGAAAAAAATCAATAGATTTCAACTTTTTTAAAAAGATTATTGGATACCAATTTTCTCAGTTTCCCGTTGTATTTCTATATGTCTCTCATAATAAAATACGAGAAAATAACGAAAAATTAATGCCCAAGAATTGTCAACCAAAAAATTTGAACACAATAATTTCTATAGAAAAACCAATATCTGTAGACTTTTATCTATAACAAACTACCCCTGCAAAATTGCATAATTTTCAGAAGTATCGGTTTACAAAATGAAAAGAATTATTTTATAGCATTCTGATGAACTTTGGCAATATTATTGTAGCTATGCCTAAATTCATGGCCTCTGTAATAGGGAATTTTATGAGATCGTCTTTGAATTTTAATGGTAACAATCAACGTTTTTCTATGTGGTCTACAAATGCGAAGTTTTTTACTTTTTTTATGGGAACTCATATGAAAAATACTAATTTTTCTTTACGTTTCCCATTTTTTCACCTCCGTAAAGTTAGCGGAGCAAGGGCTTAAAAACACCACTTTTTTTTTCACCAAAATTAAGTGTTTTTTATGTGTTTTATTGGTGCTGAAATTAAAAAAATTGTGCTCCAGCCCTTCAGGGGTTTAAAGGTAAGACCATGATTATCGATGATCGTCGATAAAATTCATATGCCATTATTATGTGCTTTTCACGTGCTCCAAAATGAGGGGTTGAAGGGGGTGAAGAGTGGTAAGGAAAACCCTTTACGCAGAAAGACGTATAATGGTGTTAAGGGTTGAAAAATCGAAATCAATGTTGATTGCAAGATATCCTACGCCATAATTATGTGCTTTTCACGTGCTCCAAGATGGAGGAAAAAAGAGGGGATGGAAGCATTTTTTGTAAGAATTCGTATTGAGAGGTTTCAAGGGTTGAAAAATCCCATTCAATATTAATCTAAAAATACTTTATATCATAATTATGTGTTTTAAACGTACTCTAAGATCAACGCAGAAAAAGAGGGGCTGGGTGGGGGGAAGAGACTTTCAGCTCACAGTTGTACTGAGAAACCTGAGNATGGAAGCATTTTTTGTAAGAATTCGTATTGAGAGGTTTCAAGGGTTGAAAAATCCCATTCAATATTAATCTAAAAATACTTTATATCATAATTATGTGTTTTAAACGTACTCTAAGATCAACGCAGAAAAAGAGGGGCTGGGTGGGGGGAAGAGACTTTCAGCTCACAGTTGTACTGAGAAACCTGAGAATGGATTTTTTTTTAAATTCATATTTCGTCGTGGAAAATATGTGTTTTCCATATCCGGTATTAGAAAAAATCGTGCTCCGTTCTTTGCGTACCTATAACCTGAAAATCGACCCGATGTGCCTGAAATATCCATCACATGACCTGAATTGAATTAAAAAATCATGTGCTCTACGATTAGTGCACAAAAATAATTCGTGCTCGAGTCATAATCATAACGGAGGCATCAGGTACCGCTATGACTTTCAGCCCTTAGGTGCCACTATCTTTTTTTTTTCGTTCTCCATTTTGTCCCAAAAAATGTGTGTTCTCCATATCAGGCACTACAAAAAGTCGTGCTCCATTCATTGCGTACATATAACCTTGAAATCGACCTGATGTGCCTGAAATATCCATCACATGACCTGAATTGACTCAAAAAATCATGTGCTCTACGATTAGTGCACAAAAATAATTCGTGCTCGAGTCATAATCATAACGGAGGCATCAGGTACCGCTATGACTTTCAGCCCTTAGACAGGTGCCACCATCTTTTTTTTTTCGTTCTCCATTATGTCCCAAAAAATATGTGTTCTTCATATCTGGCAATCGAAAAAGTCGTGCTCCATTCTTTGCGTACCTATAACCTGACCTGAATTGAATTAAAAAATTATGTGCTCTACGATTAGTGCACAAAACTAATTCGTGCTCGAGTCATAATCCTAACGGAGGCATCAGGTACCGCTATGACTTTCAGCCCTTAGACAGGTGCCACCATCTTTTTTTTTTCGTTCTCCATTATGTCCCAAAAAATATGTGTTCTTCGTATCTGGCACTCGAAAAAGTCGTGCTCCACTCGGTGCCTACTTATAACCTTGAAATCGACCTGATGTTCCTGAAATATCCATCACATGACCTGAATTGACTCGAAAAATCATGTGCTCCGCGATTAGTGGGGAAAAATAATTCGTGCTTGAGTTATAGTCATGATGGAGGCGTCAGGTACCGCACTTATGACCTTTTGGTACTTGGACAAGTACGGGGTGTTATTATTGAGTTGAGTTTTTTTGGTTTGAAATTCAGGAATAAATAGTTTTTTCCCCCCCTGTATCTGGAGTAGGACCTTCAGAATTCTAGAGGGAGAGGAGAAAAAGTTGAGGCTGACCTAGAATTGAGTTGATGGTCATTTATAAATTATTGATCAGTATTGAGTTGAGTCCCCCTGTATCGGTTGATTAATACTGTTTTTCCCCACCTGTATCTGTAGTTGGGAGCGGTCATTTCACAGGGGGTTGCGGGAGGGTTGAAAATATCATAGACTATCAAAGAGTTAACACTTTTACTGAAAATTTTCCAATTCAATTCTCAGTATTGAGTTGAGTGTCTCTGCTTCAAAAATGAATAATGACGTTATTTCGACTTGGCGATATCACAGGGGGTGTAGAGAGTGTTGAGGGTAGTATAGAAATTATCAATGACTTTCAACATAGGAGAGGGTTGAATTTTCTTTTTACCCCCAAATTTTCAAAAATTCATTTGAAAAAAACCGATTACTATCATTTTTTTTTTCAATTATCAAATCTCTTCAAAACATCTACAATGGAAAAAAAAAGAAAAGTCGGAAATTCTCCACCAAAGAGGCTGAATAAACGGATTTGAATTTGAGCGGGAAAATCCTCCTAGGGAGTTCACTGCCACCTAGGGAGAATTTTTGGCATTTGGCAACACTGAAACGCTTTCATTGCTCTTGACTTCCCCTGTATCGTTCAGTTACAGGGAGAGTGGTCATGTGATATCGAGACACAATCATCTTGACATAACCTAAACAATCCAATAGTTCACCCGTCAGTTCAGTATCCTGTATCACAGAATTTCACATTCGTTCAAGAGAATCAGCGAGGTTATCAATCATTTTCATTCAAGTATTTTTGTGTTACGATGTCAAGTGATGAATCACAGTCAGGTGATGAACGGTCACGAAAAAAACAAAAAATAAAAAGAGGAAAATTGCCAATACTTGATCCTAGAGACATGAATCAAGTATTCATTGACCGAAAAGAGGAAATTATTATTGAGAAGGATGGTAAACCCAAGCTCACTTCAAAAAATGAACAAATATGGAAAGAAATTGCAGAGATTGTGAATGCGCAAGAGCAAAAACTCGTGAAAAGGGAGGGGATATGAAACGCAAAACGACTGATGTTATGTACACATATGTTTCATGCAACCGAAATGGCATTAAAGATATTTTGTTGGCCCCGTGGACTAATATCAATCAGGAAAAGGCCGTCCCCAATGAAGATGTCTCGATACATCTCTTGGATAATTCCACTTTGGATATTTCTAGTAGATCCACCGAGTCACTTTTCACGATAACCATACAAGTGCCGGCGTCCGATTTTGAGACCTTAATAACTGAACGTGAGAGAGTCATTAAGAGGAAAAAGAAACCGGTGATATATACAAGAAAATATATCAAAGGAAGTAAGTTCCGTCTTTTTACAATCAGTATACTAAATTGCTAAACATTAAATGAAGAAACACTTCACTATAAATTCGATCAATTCTGTGATGATGTTGATTTGTCTTGCACATTTAGAGTAATATGGTCATGAATTCAAATCCAAAATTATTAGATATTTTTGAAGAATTACGAGAAAGCCGATTTTATTCGTATTCTATATTTGTAACTACATCAGTTGACTGGTTTGTTATTTGAAAAATGTCATTCGAATGAAGCTAATTGTTTATGAATTTTTACGATTTTCTCTCTCAAGGAATTTAATATAGAATAATTTAATGATTCAAAATCTTCAACTGTACAGTGTGTTGACTACAAACCTATAGGTGATGACTATACTACTTTAACTCATTGAGTAGCGAACTGACAGTTGTATTCTGAGAATGTATAGTAAGTTGAATGTAATAATAAAATACTCATTTCACATATTCGATTGTTGTCTACAGGAGAATGCGAGACGTACATCAATGATATGGTTAAAAAAGATACTCGCAGCAGCTGCGACTACAAACTTGACACATTCAGTCTTGATTCAGAGGACGATAATTATGGTCACCTAAGAGGCTGGTGCAAGTGCAAGTCACAAATTGATTGTTATATACGTAAGAAAAACTCGATCATTGAGATAGAATGTCAGATGACGAGTGGAAAATCTGGACTGAGGTGTGGTATGCGGTCAACTCGTGCAGCTCAGCCTCCACCCCGAAAAGCAGGGTCAGAAAAACTAGAAGGGTCTGATGTTGAGAATCACGATAAAAGGCAAGGATTGGATAAAGAATTTGCAGACAAAAATTGTATCTTACATGAAGATCTCATCTATGCATTACAATTATTAAAAACTTTCAAAATGTGAGCAGACATCTCAATTATTCAACCAGAGCCAATAATGATTTGCTACTGTTCTCTACATCAGCAAACTCTTTATCGAAAAATGAATTCCAATAGTGATTTGCGTCTAACGATAAATGGTATCCATTACGACTATGACTCGAGCACGAATTATTTTTGTGCACTAATTGTAGAGCACATGATTTTTCGAGTCAATTCAGGTCATGTGATGGATATTTCACGCACATCAGGTCGATTTCAAGGTTATAAGTAGGCACCGAATGGAGCACGACTTTTTCGAGTGCCAGATACGAAGAACACACATTTTTTGGGACGAAATGGAGAACGAAAAAAAAAAGATGGTGGCACCTGTCTAAGGGCTGAAAGTCATAGCGGTACCTGATGCCTCCGTTATGATTATGACTCGAGCACGAATTATTTTTGTGTACTAATCGCAGAGCACATGATTTTTCGAGTCAATTCAAGTCATGTGATGGATATTTCAGGCACATCAGGTGGATTTCAAGGTTATAGGTACGCAATGAATGGAGCACGACTTTTTGTAGTGCCTGATATGGAGAACACATTTTTTGGGACATAATGGAGAACGTAAAAAAAAGATGGTGGCACCTGTCTAAGGGCTCAAAGTCATAGCGGTACCTGATGCCTCCATTATGACTATGACTCGAGCATGAATTATTTTCGTGCACTAATTGTAGAGCACATGATTTTTCGAGTCAATTCAGGTCATGTGGTGATGGATATTTCAGGCACATCAGGTCGATTTCAAGGTTATAAGTAGGCACCGAATGGAGCACGACTTTTTCGAGTGCCTGATACGAAGAACACATATTTTTGGGACATAATGGAGAACGAAAAAAAAAAGATGGTGGCACCTGTCCAAGGGCTGAAAGTCATAGCGGTACCTGATGCCTCCGTTATGATTATGACTCGAGCACGAATTATTTTTGTGCACTAATCGTAGAGCACATGATTTTTTAATTCAATTCAGGTCATGTGATGGATATTTCAGGCACATCGGGTCGATTCTCAGGTTATAGGTACGCAAAGAACGGAGCACGATATTTTCTAATACCGGATATGGAAAACACATATTTTCCACAATGAAATATGAATTAAAAAAAAATCCATTCTCAGGTTTCTCAGTACAACTGCGAGCTGAAAATCTCTTCCCCCCACCCACCCGCTCTTTTTCTGCGTTGATCTTGGAGCACGTTTAAAACACATAATTGTGACATAGAGTATTTTTAGATTAATATTGAATGGGATTTTTCAACCCTTGAAACCTCTCAATACGAATTCTCACAAAAAAATGCTTCCGTCCCCCCTCTTTTTTCCTCCATCTTGGAGCACGTGAAAAGCACACAATTATGGCGTAGGATATCTTGCAATCAACATTGATTTCGATTTTTCAACCCTTAAAACTCCATTATACGTATTTCTTACCCACCTTCACCCCCTTCAATCCCTCATTTTGGAGCACGTGAAAAGAACATATTAACGGCATATGAATTTTATCGACGATTATTGAAAATCATCGTCTTACCCTTAAACCCCTGAAGGGCCGGAGCACAATTTTTTTAATTTCAGCACCAATAAAACACATGAAAAACACTTAATTTTGGTGAAAAAAAAAGTGGTGTTTTTAGCCCTTGCTCCGCTAACTGTATGGAGGTCATTTTTTCGTAATTTTACCAGCAATGTACTAGGAAATTTATATGCTCCATTTTGTTTTTCAGACGCCCTTATGGTTGAACATGTTGGCGTTATAGAGAAGGGTGCAAAGGTAGTTACGTATAGAAAATGGACACAATCTGAAGACTGGGATGGCCACCGCTCAAGTGAGTCGCAGGAAGAAGCCGATCCAACTTGGGCTTGATCGAGATGTACCACAAAATTCTAACAATACCGCAGATTGGAGATTTGACGCTGTATCATGGAGAAAGGGATTGTGATGCCTCAGGTAGCACGCAATCTTCAAACGCATTTGAAGACATGTTGAAGACTTCAGATGAAGATGGAGGCTTTCGACATATTCAAAATCCAGGATTGGATCATCATGAGTTATATAGTTTTTATCGCCAACATACTGCTAGACGAATTTAGTTACTATCAAGGAATACATTTTCCTATCAGTATAATATCTAAATGATTTTTCTATACATTTTGAACCTGAATAAAACTGACAATTGATTATACACTTTGTATTCTTAATTCGAAAATATAATACCGATAAACATACGGAACCATCAACTGAAAGGTTGCCGCGCAACCCATCCAGAGCGCTATCCGGCGTGACCGATGCGCGTAGAATCAGGCTAACTTGGCTACCCAGCCGTTGGATTGTGACTAACATCGCAACTTAGCAGCTAGCCAAATGCAAGTCGCAATTTCTACCTGGGCCCTCTTAACTGATTATATATGTAGTAAAATAACGTTATTAACTATTACTAAAAATAACCAAGTTACAAAAAAGAGCAATTACCCACTTCTTGATATTGATTCCAAAGATGCCTCCAAATGCTACATTCCAAAGAGAGGAGTCAGCGGGTCCTGAGGTCCTCGATAATTGCGAGTGGCTGGACGATGTACCAAGTGGTGGTCCTCTAGAGAAATACAGAAAAACCGCTTCTTTCTCGTGGAAACAAATGAAAGTTGTCCTTGAAGATATCAAATCCATTCGTTTCAAGGTAAGGGGATTGCTCATTTTGGGGAAATATTGGCCATGGCACCAAATCATTATTTGAAAAGTTTCTCTCTAGGGAAATAGTAGATTGTGCATCAAGGGAGGAAAACAGGACATTCTAAACACGTGGATTTTTATGTCCTGTTTTCCTTCCTAGGTACACATACTCTTTTTCGTCATAACTACACGGTGTAGTTCGATTTTTCTTCGTAAATGCAGGGAGGAACGTGGGTTATGTCATTCCGAGAATCGTCAAAAACAACAGAAATCTGAGGAATAGAATAAGCCACTTTCCTCCCGTCATTCGGGGGAGGGAAATCGAACTTTCCGGGCAGATATGAAGAAAAAACATTTTCGATCCCTCAATAAAGTTGGCAGTCCGAGGCGAAGCAGAGGACTGCCAATCACACGAGCTGAAACTTCCCGTCTCATATGTGTCGAACAATATTTTTTGACAGTGATGTTACGCTCAATGAGTGTTCGAACTGTGCCTTCTTCATTTACGAGTTAACAAAAAGACTTTTTGGTCATTTTTCATTTACGAGCAAACGAAGCCCCGTGTTGTTAGCAGACCAGGGTCATCAGATCGGGTCGGCAATTAGCTAGAAAATACGGGTTTTTTATGTGCTTTTTTTCTGCAGAAAAATTAAATTTTCTGCTCAAATATTTTGGCCAAAAAATCGATTTTTGAGTTTGGTCGTCAAGCTAGCAGACCAATGAGATCGAATGGGGATAATTCGTGCACACTGGTAAAGAATTAAATATGGGCTAATTTTCTGCAAGAAAATAATTTCATTTTTTCGGAATTTTCAAGGACGTCAAATGTGGGCAAATGAGGGTAGAGGTAAAACGGGTTCCTCGGACCCTAGCATCGGTGGACATGTTCGGAGAAATATTTGCTTCTATTTGACGTCCATTCAAAATTTTCTGCTTAAATATTTTGGCTAAAAAATCTATTTTTGAGATTAGGGCATTAAGCTCGCAGGCCAGTTGGGGTCGAATGGGGATAATTCGTATACAATGGCAAAGAATTAAATCTGTGCTAATTTTATGCAGGAAAATAGTTTGAGTTTTTCTGAATTTTTTTTAAAGGCCTTTTGAGTCCCCTTTTCGGGTCTCATTTCGGCACTCCATCCAACCCTATGCACGCGGCTGTGGGTTCTATACTGTACCGCATTCGCACTCCTATAGAACATAGGAATAGCATGGCAAACCACAGGAACCCCATGCCGGTACAGGCGGTTACTCTATTAACAACCTCCCGCTCGCCGGAGCCTTCCGTTGAAAAATTCGGTTCCACGGGGAATCGAACTCACAACCTTTCGCATACTAGACTTGCGTCTAGCCTACTCGGCCACCGACGTCGGTAGTTTTTCGGAATTTTCTTCGAATTTTCCAGGACGTCAAATGTGGGCAGATGAGGGCAGGGATAAAACGGGTTCCTCGAACCCTAGCATCGGTGGACATGTTCGAGGATATATATGCTTCTATTTGGCGTCCATTCAAAATTTTCTGCTCAAATATTTGGCCAAAAAATTGATTTTTGAGTTTGGGGCGTTAAGCTAACAGACCACTGGGGTCGAATAGGGATCATTCCTGCACAATGGCAAAGAATGAAATATGTGATAATTTTCTGCAGGAAAATAATATGATTTTTCTCCGAATTTCCCTGGACATCAAACATGGTTAGGTGAGGGTAGGAGTGCGTCGGATTTCTAGGACCCTAGGATGGGTAGATACAATCGGGGAAACATTGCTTCATTTTGAAGTCAACTGGAAATTTTCTACTTCAATATTTTGGGGAAAAATTCAATTTTTGAGTTTGTGAAGTTTATCTAGCAGACAAATGTGGTCAATTGTGATAAATGAATACATTATAGGGACCTTTTCTATAAAACCAGATAGTCATTTTTATCGACCTTTTTTTTATCGTTATTTTACATCGGTTCGACCGGGTTAGGGTAAACTGCGATGATGATCAAGACTTTAAATGGTTAGGTCGCACCATTCTACCCGACCGGGATTTTAACTCGGAATCTTTCGCATGTGAGGCCACGAATTTACCCACTGCGCCAAGCCACCGGGTCTTTTATCGATCTCTCGCAATGTCACTAATTTGTCAAGGTTTTCTGTGACTCGAAAAAAGTATTCCAGATTTTTTTCAGAATTTTGGTGCCGCTCATTCTCTTTCTGCAATTACATTTTCTTGGCTGATAAAAATACCTTATTTCTCCGGTTTTATGCGTTCAAAAATGATGATTAAAAAAAAGTGTACTTTTTTTTTACTTTAAAATGGAAAAATCATTAAAGGTTGGAAACCTTCAAGAGATCAGTTTCCGTGAAAAAAAGAGGAAAATAATTTTTAATCTCAAACAACTGGTCCTTCGAGCTGGATCGAAGGAAAAGTACGTGAGAGTGAGTGGAAAATTCTAGAATAAAAGGGACGCCTCGTGTGTAACGAACTTTCGGGTTCCACACGAGCAAATCCACGGACAGGTCAAGACAATCAACAGTGCAGAGTGTTGTGCCTAGTGTTTACAGTTGAAGTTCGATATTGTAAACCCCGGTAGTGACACTTCGACCTCTAGTGCTGTGTAACTTCGGAAAACCTCGGTCTCCGTCGGGACTATCCGAGGCCCAAGCCGCGCGCGCAACGCGAAAACCAACAGGCAGTTGAAAGAGCGCCCTCACCTTATAACGTGCCCTACCTTATCGACAGTGACCACCAAGTCAACATCAGTCAGTATCTACCTGTTATCGATAAGTTACCTCACCCAGAACAGAGACGACCACCATGTCAGACGCGGAGTTAGGAGATAATCAACGTATGGATGAATGCACTGAGGAGACGCCAAGCGTAATTGAGCCAATTATCCAGATTACTGAGCACACATCTCAAGCGCACTTCAGTGAAGAAATTACACCGCCGTTTCTTGACGCGACTCCCATTCACCAACAAGAAAATATACACACTGTAGCCGAGATGGAAACTGCAATAGGCGAACTCACAGAGACTCAGAAGTTCCAAACAAATAAACTGGACTTCAAGGTAAATTCACGTAATGATATTTATCAAGAATTGTTGCAGTCAGCCGAGAACATTAGCGGTCTCACAGTCGAGGAGTTGGACGGCCAGGAGAAAATCATCGAAGGAGAATGGAATGAATTTCTCATCATCCAAGACAAACTCAGCGAGAATCTCCTCCCAACTCATCAACATATTATTCAGAGCACCTATCAGAGGGCATCAACGCTGAAGAAGACCTGCCTCAAACTCATCTACTATGTCAAGGGAATCATCAAGAAGAGGGAATCAACAAGTACATCAACAACATCAGGTCAAGCCAATCAACTCAAGAGAATTGGACTGAAACGATTCGAAGGAAAATACTCAGAGTGGAAGCAGTTCAGCGACCTATTCCAGTTACTGGTGGGAAAAGATGATTCAGTTCCCCCAGTGTAAAAGCTAGTACGCCTCAAGGAGGCTCCCAAGGGACAGGCAGCAAATCTCATCGACACCTTCACGGTGACCGATGAGAATTATGAGAAGGCTTGGCAGAAGCTAGTGAGGAAATATGAAGATCCCAGACTCATTGCTCAAGCACTGTTCAACAGGATCCTCAACCTCCCGAAGATCACCAAGGCAACTGCGGAGAACCTCAACCCCAATGTAGCGACAGCCCTTGAGATGAGAGATCAGCTGATCACCATGACAGGCTTGTCAAAGGAGAGCGTCAGTGAGCAGATGATCGTTCATCTATTGAGGAAGTCCTTGGATGCTGAGACTCTCAGAGCATGCGAATTGAAGCTAGGAGATTCCAAGGACTCCCCAACCCTGGAGGAGTTCACCGGCTTCGTAGAATCCTGCGCAAGAGGAATCAATGCTGGAGCCAAGCTGACCACCGAGTCTCTAGCATTACCAATCAAGAAGCAAGGAGCAACTCAACGTCAGAGGAATGCTCATCTGGCAATAACTCAACAGAGGGAGCCAGAAGAGCCCACCAGACCGCTCCCCAAGGAGCACTGTGCCTACTGCAAGGGACCACATTTCATCGCGAACTGTCAGGGGTTCGTCGACCTGTCCCCCATCAAGAGGAATGAGTTCGTGGTCAGCACAAGGCTCTGTTTCAACTGCTTGGGCCCACATCTATTCTCAAAGTGCAGGTCCACCAAGACGTGCTTCAGCTGCAAGCGNTCAAAATGCAGGTCCACCAAGACGTGCTTCACCTGCAAGCGCAGGCATCACACGCTCATCCATGGTGGAAGCACGTACACCAACGGCAGAGATGCTGAGCAGGCAGCTCCAGTGGACCCAACAAGAGAAGAAAATCTACAAACGGTCCAACCAGGAACGAGCTGGGCTGAGTGTACGTAAAAAATTAGTTTCATTCTAATTTAAAACACTCATTGATCGCTCTCAATTATACCTACCAGCATCCAGAGCATCACCAACACGACTCATCACCAATCAGGCGATCAGTACTTTAACAGCGCCTGTCATCAAAGAGCAAATCACCAAGCAGCCAATCATCGAGCAGAGCAGTCATCATTCAGCAGCTGATCAGCAATATGTACTTCTAGCAACAGCCCAAGTCCGAGCACAATCTCCAAAAGGCTTCCTTCTCAAAGCAAGAGTGCACATCGATCAAGGCTCAGAGTTATCATTTATCTCTGAGGAACTAGTACATCAACTCTTACGAAGGTCATCAAAAATAGAGTTAATCGGAATAGGAGAGACCAACTCAGGTCACACGAGAGGAGCAGTATCAGTACTGCTTCAAGCAGTCGATGGATCACAGCAAGTGCAAATCAATGCTCACATACTCAAGAAACTCACCGTCAAGCTACCATCATTCTCGTGCTCACCAACATGGATCGACCCTTCACAAGGTCTTCGACTAGCCGATCCAGATTATCTAAAACCTGGTCCAATAGACATCATCATAGGGACTGACAGCTATGGGCGGATCATCAAAAGTAGCGTCGTCAGGTCCAGAAACACTC